TGAATTTTTGAAATTAGTAATAATAATATTCTGGTCCATTGGGGATTAGCGGAGATGAAGTTTCCGCTTATTCACATATGGATCAGGGTATTATTCATTAATCCCCCGTGATCTTGATATAGTGATTGGGAAATTATAGATATAATTACCTGAGAACCAAACCCGAGTCCCATTACTCCTTCAACTGCACTTTGTGATTGAAGAGCACCATTTATTTTATCAAATAGTATGAGTGAAAATTTGTCTTTAAACGTAAAATCATTAAATGTAATGAAGTCATTGCCAGTAAATCCGCTAACACTAGATCCGTCTAAATAATTTATTGATCTTGGTTTATAAGTTCCTTTAAAGGATGTTGAATTGTCTGAGATAAATATATTTTTTCTACTATTACAACTTTCACTTAACGGATTACATAAACCGATATCATTAGAGGAGATATCAGGTATTAAATTAACTTTTTGGGATGGATTTGATCCAATTTGAAGCTGAATTAATGAAACAGAATTTGGATCATTTATATCAAATTTATTTATACTAAGTATTAAAGGAGTAGAAGCACGTTCTTTGATCACATTTCGGTTGAAATTGTTAAATTTTGGATTATATTTTTTGATCGCATCTTGATTATAATTGACAGTTTTGGGGTTATAATTTTTAAAAAACCTTTCTTCATTCTTGTTTTCATTAATGATAAAGAAAGAAAATTTTAAATAAATGATGATAATAATGGAATATATAATCAAACGCGATTTATATATTCGAGAAAAACCATTTAAAAAACGAAAATTATCCATTAATCGTAATCAGGATACAGCGTGAGGATTACAGTAATTCGATTATTTATATAGTTTAAAATAATCATCGAATAAATTTTACGGATAAATAATAATTCATCTAACACCATTTATTTCTTTAAAGTACTTTTAAAATTATAAATTTACTTAGGCATGTTATTACCACTAAAAATGATTAGCTTTATGGATTTATAAGTGACATCTCATAAAACAATCAATAATAAGTTTTAAAGGTTAGTGTAATTTATATCGATATGGTTTTATTTAAAGATTTTAATCGGGTAGAAAATGCTATTATATGATTATAGTAATTTATCCGGATAACCGAAGTTTTACCAATGGATACAAACTTTAGTTTTATTTTTGAGCGTAAATTGCAGCTATTTTCTATAATAGAGATAGATTATTCATAAGGATTTGAACTTTTTAATCGCATAAAAATTGTTACAAAATTTCGGACCTATCGCTATCATGAGTGATTTTAATCCGATAATTTACGTGATATTGGATATTCAGGGATTAAAATATGATAAAATTAAATTGTAAGATTGTATTTTATTGGATAATTGTCCTCGAATTATAAATTGCTTATGAAACGCTTATGAAACCGCTCATAAAACCGCCTATATAAGGCATGATATTATGTGCATTATTTGATTGGTTAGTTACACATTTGCCCTATTTTATATAGTGACGCTACACGTACTATTATTATTACTTAAAACAAAATTAAAGACTTTAACGCTTATTTCATTAGGAATTAGAATCTCATTAATTAGAATACCACTATAATCATATTTACTATTTGTCTCAACATTGTTGAGAATATTGAAAAGTGACGGCAAAAGGTTCATTGAAGTTATCAATTTTTGTAATTTGGACTAGGACCGGATCGTTATGATCCGAGAACCGAAAATTATTAGGTCCTTGGTTCGTCACCGTCCAGTCCCGGTCTTTTCGAAGATCGATCTATCACCAAGATTATAGGGAAAATTAGCAAGTCTTTTATTTACAAACTACACGTAGCTTCGTATGAGCGGAAATTTACAGTCGGAACATTTTATTATTAAAATTAAATGTGATGATCTAAAAATTACATGTGTACATAAATATGTACTGACTATAAAATAAATAGAGAACTGTATAAAACTGATAAGAGCTCGTAAATTATTTAAGACCCATAAAGTAATCTATATAAAAAACTGATAAGCAACTGATAAGTAACATAAGAAATTTTACGATGATTGATTAAAATATCATTTTTAATCTCAGTAGTCACTTCAAATCTTGCATATGATTGGTTCAAAAGACTTTTATGCATAATTATGAAAACTGGCCCATACGTCTGGGTCGGAAAGTCATGTTTGACTGACATCGCGATTATTGGTTATGCTGGTTTAGAATCCTAAAAATTGGCCCTGTCTAGTTAAATTCGGTGACCTAAAAATGTCAAATTCCGCCAATACGCCATAATGTTCTGCTATTAACATTCTTTACTTGAGTTGAATTCTTAGTAAAAAGAATTCAAATTATGCATTAATATTCTTACTAATTTTCGATTTAGAAATTCGTGCTAATCGCATTTACTTTTTCGGTTTCGGACTAATAATTCGATAGAGTAGTACACAATAAGCACACAATTATTTAATAAAGATAATTTGAAACGTTAATCGATTATGTATTTAAACATTGAAATTTTCGTTAACTGCTGCGCAAAGTCTAATTTACGAATTAATTAATTTTCGATCCAAATGACAGATACAACTACGCCATGGGCACAATTAATTAAACAAAGCCATAAAAAAAATTATCGAAATGTTGGTGGGTTTCTTAGGATGGATTTTAAATATGACCTCATGTTGACATTCGTTCTGAGTAAAACATTACAGTTTATGTACAGATGACAAACCTTCGAAGAAATGGGCAACCTTCATTACACAATATTAGATTTCTGGATTTTCTTAAAGACGATACTAGGTATCTTATTTTTCCAATGGCTCTTAATGACAACAATTTACATGGAGATGTTAAATCAAACCCCACTGCGCAACTAAGCTGGTAAAGAAAAACCTTATTTCACAGCAAAATGTATATTTTTGACAGTCGTCTAAAATAAAACCATATACATATAATTAAAGGCAAATGCAAACAACCAAAGAAATCTACAACCTATCAGGTCGATTCTACATAACCTCCTCACCCACAAGAATAACTCGGTTTCCAGCTCCAAAAATCATCACACCAAACAAATCACCTACTGACACTGACGAAATTTCATCTAAAGAATATTGGGAGTCTCTAAGGCGACATTTCTGGTCTTCATTATCCTCACAAAACCGGGCAATTTATACATGGCCTCCGCCAGGTGAAACGCCTAAAAGTGATAAAGAAGCATTTAAATGTTTAGAATTAGACGATATGCTAGATGTTGCCCCAGAGTATAATAATTCAGACAAGATCCTGCATGATTCTGCGTTTGACAATTTTTGTTTATTAGTGTTTAAAGTTAGTGAAGTTGTTAGATTCGAGTATGGAGTATTTCCACAAAAAAGAACCGTAAGTATCTATTTATGAATTAGAGTAAATTTGTTTGTTGGACGCGTTGCTATACTGAAATTATTTATTCTTTTTTTTAGATCTACAGACTGGACGACGAAGAAAAGGAATGGATTGTTGAAAAATCCAATCCGTAGAACCTGGTTAGCATATGAACTAATATATGTGGAGTTTTTAATTATAAAATTATTTGCTTTAAATTTTATTATTTTGGTTATTATGTTTTGGTACAGTGCCTTCTATACGGTATTACGAGTAGTTGTGATGTATGGTTTAGCAAAGTGGTGTATGCGACAAAAATAGCATTTGAGTATATAAAACTAGCATACGATACTTATAATACAGTAGTATAGTCGTATATTAAATTGGTTATTTGCTTTTTAGGTCTATAAAGATGCTAAAAGATAAATTTTGTATAATTATGTTTGAAAATAAGGATTACTTTTTTGCAAAATTAATTTTTATATAGTATAAGAAAAAAAATTTAGGTCGTTTATAAGTTAAAAATAGACAAGCTTAGAAAAAATTTTTAATTAAAAAAATTATTTATAAATTTTTAACAAACTCTTTAAATATTAATTTTAAATATATAG